TGCACATGTTACTGATCTGGTTGTCTATCAGAAACGGGGGTGAATGGATGGATGGAGAAAAAGGGAGTGAATTTGGCAAACTAGTGCAGTAAGCGGGTGGGTAAATATTCCCTTTTTCGAAGTCTCAGCATTCTCGCACTCATGTTATGCACCAGTTCACTTTTTGAAGCCTCAATATTCTCGCACTTATGTTATGTATGTGCTTTGATTAGACACATGCGAGCATGTACTCTCTGCTTCCATCTTACGAATGTTCGATTCGGGAGAAGAAGGCGCGTGACAATCCGTCATGTGAGTCGAATAGACCTTGTAGTAATTTAGAAGAAGCATATTTTTGTTCAATTGGCTAGTCCCGTGGTTGGATTCTGCTCCTGCTGCTCCTCTGTTTTCACTTTTTGCGAAAGGAATTCCTACGACCAAAAGATTTCGACAGAAATAATCATAAAAGTTAATTCCTTCACTAAGTTTTGCATTCATAACACAGAAAAGGATACACCCATTTTTTATTCTAAGTTTTTCATTTTGGTTTTTTATATGTTGTACGGTTTGCATGTATTGTGTAAGTATATCATCTTGATTAGTATTATTTTTTTTTTCAAAAAAGATATGTTTTTTTTGTTTTATTTGTTTTAAGACATATTGACCTTCATTGTGTAAGAAAGATATAAATTCATTTAAAAAATTGTAAGATGAAAAGAAAACAATATTTCCATAACTTACGTGTAAAGTTAGAAAAAAAATTTGAATTGCTAAATTGAGCAGATGTGTTTTTTTAAATCGATTTTTAAAAGTGTTATCTATGGGTTCAAAAGAAACTATGCTCGTACTTACTATTCTAGAAAATACATTTTGTTTTTTAAATATATAATCTGACAAAAATAATTTAACTTTTTTTTTCTCTTCTCTCTCATTTATAAAAAGTAAGAGAAATTCTTCTATCGGTTGTAGTGTACCACCAATTAGGATCACGTTGCTGCAATCTTTAGTTATCTTTTGAAAGTTGTTACATGAGCTTACACTAACCAATTCAATTTTGTGGAATAATTCCTCTCTATCACGTCTTGTCAAGTCATCCATTAGGATTTTAATCCTTTCCTCAACTGGATCATTTTGATAGCTATTCCTCTTTCCGCTCTCCTCCAGCATACATTTCTTTGTATTACCATCACACATCTTTCTGCTTCCATCTTTCATCCGTTTTTTCTCTTCCACATTTGATACTTCCTGTTTGTCATCACAGCTCCTTTTATTTTTTCTGTTCCTGTCAGAATTTGCTTGTTCATCTGGCTTTGCTGCATCTGCCGTTGCCCATGGATTCGCTTCTTCCCCTATGTTTGAGGTTCCTCCTCCTCTGTTGAGAAATATATAATCATACCGATTCGATCGTATCATCTTATTTGTGAAATCGTTGAGTAAATAAATAGATGATGTGTTAAGACTTCGAATGGTAGTGCCAGTAGGATGGGTAGTGAACTTTTGTCTTATGTAGGACTCTGCAAAAATTTTAATTCTTCTACAAAAATGGGAACTATTTAGAAAATTGGAAATATTATTAAGATTCAGTGCATCTAACTTAGATGTGAAAATGTATTTTGTAACTTTCATAAGGTTGTCTTTCACATCGACAAAGGAATGTAACATCAAATCACAGTAAATTACAATCTGTTTAATCATAACCATGTTACTATTATTCAAAACATGTTCATATTTTTTTATATATTCTTTTAAAATTAACATACAAAAAAGTATATGATGATATTCTATGGATACCGAGTTGGCATCATTTATACTATCTATAATATTTTGAGACTCGTCAAATATAACAATATTATTTTTAATATCTATTTTTAAGCTTTTCCTCACATGCTCATTCAGTATGCAAACATATGGTAGTAGTACTATATCTGCATTTTTTACATTTTCTTTGCTGAGATAATATGGGCATATTTCGATTCTGTCGTTTCTACATATTTCTTTTACTTGGTTCATATTTAAATTTTTTGAATTTATCAATTTGGTTGTTAGGGTGTAATTGTCTACAGCATCAACCTCTTTCATGTTTCCTTCACTGCTACTACTGCTACTACTACTATTACCTTTTGTACTTCTTCCACTTGAAGAAGATGTAGAGATGTAAAAAATTTTATTCTTTTTTTTTTCTCTCTTCTTCTTCTTCAACATCATATTTTTCTTGAAAATTTCCTTATATCTGCATTCACTGTTTCGACAGCAATCGTTTAATTCGTTTACGCTTCTATACTTTTTCAGAAATGTCTGAGAAGAGGGTTCATTTCGGATTCACACAAAAAGGACAGGTAATTATTTGTAAGTCACACAGTTACATATAAATTATACTACTGTTTTGATATTTTCACATTTTACCCGTTCCAGTGCACCCTTTTTTTTTTCATCTCTAGTGTAATTCTGTTACTCTCTTTTTTTTCAATTTTTTTTTTTTCCACTTACCTCATTCACACACAGATGCTTTCTACTTCCTATGATAATCATATTTATGGATAATTCTTTTCCTAGATTCTTCTCTATTTTTTTTAACTCTAAAAAGTACTGATTTAGTTGCGATTGCGTTCTGCTGCAGATGAAGATCTGTCGTGTTGTGGGTATGCGGGTGGAGGGTTAACAAGGCATAAATGGTAGAAGTAATTGGGTAGGTACAAGCGGTAGAAGTAATTGGACAGATGCAGTTGCAATTTAATTGTCTCTCCGTTCTGGTTTAATTTTACCTGTTTCTTGGAAGAGCCCTCTATGGAGAAGTCACTTAACACTTCTTCATCTGAAAAAGAGGAGAAAAAAAAAAAAAAAAAAAAAAAAAAAAAGACAACGATAAGACAAATGGAATTAGCACAATATTACATTATTGATATTTGCGTAGTTGAGAAGATGCTCCTTTTGTTTTTTTCTCCCTTCTTGTGCCGTATCATTCTCAGTATATAGTCCCTATTGAGTTGGTAGTCCTGGCAATTGTAGTATTCGTAACCTTTTTCAGCACCGAAGTGATCATGTATTGCTTTGGAAGGATCCAGGTGAATTGTTTTTTTTTCTATTTTTATATTTTCCTTCAATGTTATTTTATCATTCGAAATGGAAAAGTACTTGTTCAAAATCTTGGCATCTGCCTCTTTCCTTTTTTCTTGTATTTTTAAGTTATGTGCATATTTTTCTAGTAATTTCATGGAAACGGATTCTTTTATCCACTCGGGTTCTGTATGCATGTGTTTGGATGGTGAGGAGTGGTGAGAAAAATGAAGCCTTATCGGGTTGCCAAGTTGGCATTTTGACATGCTTCCGTTTTGGCATGTTAACATGTTCTCCTGTTCTCGTGTTGTAAATGTGTTTTTCACATCGAAGGGAGATACATATTTCAGAAGAAGAATATATGACAACCCCTCTAGCCATCCAACCTTCCTTTTTCAGTTGGGTATTTTCCCTCAGAAGGAATAAATCGAATTTGTTTTTGAGGAGCCTTACATGGAGGAACAATATATTAAAAAAAAAAAAAAAAAGAAAAAGAGAAAAGGAGAAAAGGAGGAAAACGTGTTTGTGTGTGTGGAGGGGTGAAGTGAAAAAATGTAGAAAAAATGACAGAAATAACTTTCATAGTCGATTTACATCTCTGCTGCATATACGTGCAAAAGGAGAGCTGGGGAAATAAGCCCCCAAAGATGCATTACTTCTGATTAAACAACCTTCTAATGACACGACCCATCCCCTCAAACTTACCAATAGATGAGTGGAGTTAACAAACTGAGGGATTTTCCAGAGCCAGTTTTCATTTCACAGATAATATGATTCTGATGTTCGTCACCATCTTCTGCATCTGTGTCTTTGTCTGTTTGATTGGTTTCTATATCGATATTATCATTCAAAAATTGGAAATCTTTCCTTATTTCATGCTTTAGAATTTTTTGTAAATTTTTGTTCTTTTTGATAATTTCATACACAGGTTTGTTCCGTTCACCAAATTTTATATTAGAACTTTTCAAGACATTGTAAAGGGTTCTCATAAAGTCAAGTTGGATCTACGGTTTGTGCATGCAATCATGTTAAAAAAAAAAAAAAAAAAAAAAAAAAAAGGTGAATGGGGGAAGAGGGGAGGTTATATGAAAGAATAAAGCAATGTTGTCATTATGTGTATGGACTAAACAACGGAGTAATGGAATAAAATATGTAATATGCAATATGAAATAGTTCAAAAGATGTATCATTTTATAAAAACAAAATACTCTACTAGGTGTAAATTTGGAAAATATATACACTTTCATTCGTTTTTGCATTTATACTTTTTTTTTTTTTTTTTTTTTTTTTTTTCTAGCTTTACTTTATAAGGTGGAAATGGGAAAAATTTCCTAATTTCGTCCTCAAATTGGTCAGTCATGGTGAACTGTTTTAAAAAGAAAAAAAAAAAAATAGAATGTATTTCGATAAATATTTTATTTTTTTTATTCTTTGAAAAGTTCAGCAAGTATACTTGTGTCCTTTTTTTTCTCCACGTGTGTAAGAGTGTGTAAATGTAGGTACGAGAGTATATATTCTTACAATCGCATAAGCTTATACTCATTGTAGGTATGTTCATGGGCTTAGTAATTTCCTGCAGAGGAAATTAAAAGCTTAAGATTTGTCACCGTACGGAATGGGAAAGAGAAAGAAAAAGGGGAACAAAAAAAGGAAAAAAATAAAAAGGGATGAAAAGGAAAAGGGATGAAAAGGAAAAGGGATGAAAAAGAAAAGGAATGAAAAAGAAAAAAGGGATGATTTAAATTTTATGTTCGTGTGACAGTAGAACAGAGCAATTCGAACAAATGCACAGCGTAATAGGATTTGTAGTATTTTTTTTTTTTTTTTTTTTCCCCACAATTAGGCTATTTTTTAGCTACCTGCCTGACTTGTGCAGGTGATTTATACAATTGTTGTTACATTTTTGGAAATTGCGAAATAACCTCAAGGGATTTTTATTTATTATTTTTTTTTTTAAATGAAAGGTTACGAAACAGGCGTCCTTCAGGTCACACCATAATGATGGCACCTATACTTGCTTCTACAGGCCTTTGAAAATACATGCACATATTTGTAAACATACACGCTTCAGTACACACATATGTGTAAACATGCACGCTTCAGTACACACATATTTGTAAACATGCACGCTTCAGTACACACATATTTGTAAACATGCACGCTTCAGTACACACATATTTGTAAACATGCACGCTTAAGTACACACACGTGTGTATGCGTGGTAAAGCACATTCCGACTATGTGTTTATAGAAGCCTCCTCTCTCATAGAGCAAGATGAATGAGTATCTAAAACATCCCGTGTCATTCTACGTTTTGAATATGCGAATGTGTAACGGCAACTTTTCTGAAATATGGAAAAATTTGGAGTTTCGACCGATGGAAGACATTGTCATAATAAGGTTTGTAATTTTGCACATTCACATGTGTCTTTGCATGTGTTTGTGAGTCATGTCCCATTAGCCCCCTTGAATTCCTCCCTATTAATTTTCACCCCTTTTAATATGTCTTCCCAAATGTTATTGGTTTTTTGCACGTTATTTTTGCTTTACTTTTCGCTCCCAATTGGCACCCAACACGTCAATCACCCGATTAGCATCCTACACATCGATATTACTTCTCTCCACCATGCAGCGTAAGAAATGCTCCCCTTTGTGAGAATCTCAGATGGCACATCCAAGCAAAGGTAGAAAAGTGTGCAAACCGAAATAACCTGTACAAATTTGTGAATCCTAATTTCAAATTCGAAAAGAGTTTTTTTATTATTATGATAAAAGGGGACCTGTATGAAGATATCAAGAATGTGTATTGCAAAAGTGTCAATTTGTGTGTGAGAAATGCTTTTGGAAAAACTTACAAGAAAATTATGAGACGCTACTTCGATCATTTCATGGCACACAAATTGAGTCGATGGCAAGGTGATACAGGTAGAATGGGAAGAATTGAGATGGATGGAGGTGGAGAGACACAATATGATGCAACAATTCTGAATAATCACATTCAAATCCGAATCGGCAATAACACGTATTACAACAGCATGAGTAGACATTTCGATAAAAAAGAAATGACAAAGACAAGTTTCAAGTTGCTAGCTGAAGAAAAAAGTTCGCTTCTGTGTGGAAACCGAGATGGACGATATAACAAGAAGGAGAATTGTGTAAGGAAGAGAAGTTGCACATGTCGCAAATGTCGTAGATGTCGTAGCGAGAACCTGACATGTGCAGGATGGGATACATTTCTTCAATGTAATAGGGAGAATGGCAAAAGTGTGAAGGGGAAAGGAGACCATGAAAACGGAATAACCTGCATAACATTCACAATTAAAAACGTAAGCTTATGTATATGCATATCGGAATTTGATTTTCATAAATTTGGAGAAGGAGTGGATTATTACAAATATTTGTTCAAACTTATAAGAAAGAAAAAAGGAAAGAAGGAGAAAAACATAATTTATGAGTCTGATCCTCAAATGAAGTACACAAAATTGTGGCTAAAGAGTTATCATATATACTGTAAACAACTATACAACTATTTTATGAACAAGATAATTTTCGAAACACAAAATGATGATTTGCATTTATTCAATATGGACATTATCATACTTCAAGGATTTGACAATTTTCTTTTGTTTAATGATGATGGTGTAGAAAATAAAAATGTCTTACATAGCAACGATTCCTTCAGTTTTGATAAGAGTGTTGTAATTCTAAATAGAAATAAAAAAAATATGCTACAAAAAAGATCCTATAGTACCTTGACAATGTCAGATAAAAATGACAAATTAATTTCCTTTGGTTTTAAATTTTCTTGTGATTTACTTACACAAGTGGGAGTTAACATGGTGGATGATTTCTTTTTTCCCTTTCCCCCTTTGCAAGACACAAGACTGAAAGATAGAAATGTGGAAATTTATGTGCATCCAGAGATCATCGAGTTAGATTCAGTCTACACGCATCATATTTATCAAGTCGCTTTTGAGCTGCATTATCGGGAAAGAAGTTCCCTCGGTTCGATGGGAAAAGGTCGCCTCGGTTCGATGGGAAAAGGTCGCCTCGGTTCGATGGGAAAAGGTCGCCTCGGTTCGGTGGGAAAAGACCGCTTCGATTCGATGGGAAAAGACCGCTTCGATTCGATGGGAAAAGACCGCGTCGATTCGATGGGAAAAGACCGCTTCGATTCGATGGGAAAAGACCGCTTCGATTCAGAAGCGAATAGTTTGTCCAAAACAAATTTTGGGATCATCAGGAAGAAGAGCTTCTACCTGCACCACAGAGGAAAAGAAAATTTGTGTACACACAAAGACGTACCAGCACCGGGGGTGAAAGGGAAAGGGCGAGAGAATCATTTGGGAGCCATTTTTGAATCTTCTTTACCCAAGTTGATGGGAAAAAAAGGGTTCATCGGCAAGGCCGTGCAGCAAGGACATGGGGGTAGCAGATGTAGCAGCAGATGTGGCAGCAGAAGTGGTAGCAGAAGTGGTGGAGGGACGGAGAAAAGGGAGGTGTCGTTTTCAGTGCTATGCCTGGACTCGAGAAAGAAGTGCACCGTTCCAATTAACTTATATTCATATCTGCATCTAAAGAAAATGTCTATTTTCAAGTATTTAGAGGAAAATATGCGCTTCAAGTCGGAAGAGAAGAATGAGAATTCACAAAGTGGGGAAATGCCGAAAGGTTCACCTGCAAGGGAGAGTAAGAACTTTGACATTTTACGACATGTGTATGTACATCCGCACAAAGGAATTATAAAAAGAAACGAAAAGAAAAAAATAAAATTAAACTTATATATTGAACGCATGCTAAGGGAAGATGTAATAGTCAATGGTAACTTCATTTTAATTATTCGTGTCCATAATTTTTGCAAAGACATTTTTCTAACCATTAAATATTCTTTGAAGAATAATACAATAAGTGCACTTATTCAGAATGATACCATAAACAATTCTCCAGCTACATCACAGAATAGAGACTCAGGTGAGTGCATCACAATCAAACCTGTAGAACAAACGAACACATTTCAAAAAAAAAACAAATTGGTTGAGTCAAAACAAATTAAAATGTTGAAGACAGATGTAAATTGTCAACACAGTAGAGTAGATACAAAATCAGGGGGAGATCCCAAATGGGTATTTAATGACATACCTTGGTGGAGCCAAAAAATTATAGTAAATAGGGATAATACACATTCCTTTTTACCATCGAATTTTACAAAATTTGTTTTTTATTCATTTTTTATGATAGATCAATGTGAACGGGAATTGTTAAATCCAAGTACCTGCACTGATGAACGAGACTGTGAAAGTGTGTATAACCAAGAGCAAATGTCTAACCAGTTATGTGATGAATTGTTTTACCCATTCACACTGTCAAACGTTAGTAATGAACATCTCATTTACTGCTTCAGACCACCATACTCTGAGAGAACAAGGAAAAATGAAAGCGAGTGTGACTTTAACTATGTGTGGAAAAAGCATTTTTTTTATGTGCAATATTGCGATCAGAATTATTGGGCAGTCAAATCGGGTGCAGTCAAAAATGAGAGAACCCCAAATGAGCGAGCCCCAAATGAGCGAGCCCCAAATGATAGCATAACCGAGAAAGCAAATTATCTAGTCGGAAAGCTGAAAAATAATGAAAAAGTGGAAAAACGAATATCTATAGGAACAATTTTGTTATTGTGCGAAGAACTGTTCCACATATTAAACACAAGTATGATGAACTTTGCAAATGTGGTTCCGATGATAAAAAATATATACAACAATTCCCAAGTGGGGAAAAGGAAAAAAATGTATTTAATCTTTTACATCATTTTGACAAATTCCCCATGTGTGCTTTACAAAAATATTTTTTTAGTTTTTGTATCTTTTTTAAAAAAAATGTTCATATATTTTGTATGTGTTTTATTCCAAAAATTTTATGCATCCATTGTATGGAGGAGGCCACAAATGTCTAAAAAATATTTATTACCAAAGCGAATGCAAAATCATTATTTTAAGCAATTTCTTAATTGTTTTCATTTTTTCCATATTTCTTTTTTGACATATATGTGTACATCTTTTTTGAGCTTTTTAGATCATCAAATTGGTTTCGATTTGGTGCACTACTTGCTTTTCCACTTATAGGATGGGACTGCGCAACTTGACCACCCCCTCTCCCTCTTTGAACTTGATCACACGGCATAGTCATGGGTATAACCTCTGTTCTCATTTTTTCCTTCGTCTATTTTGAGAACTCATCAGATGCACACAATCGTGTTACACAGCAGAGGTGGGAATGGCGATGAAGCAACAGTGTGATGTAGCAACAGTGCAATGAAGCGACAGTGTGATGTAGCAACAGTGTGATACAGCGACATGTTCATCACGACAATTTTCACTCTTTGACCTATTTCCTCTCAACGTAGAAACGTGTAAAAGTTTTCCGATAATGTAAAATAAAAAAAAAAAAAAAAAAAATCAGCATTACACGTCTGTATTTCTATTACTATGCCATGATTTTTATGCCATTTTTTTTCCCCAGTTGAATATGTACTATTAATTATTGCTGCCTTGGGACCAAGAATTCAAAATAAGTAATTTTTTGTGGAATTAGTAGGAGTGCATGTGTATATATATACCCAGTTCAGTCAGTACTTTTCATTATTTTGTGTTTTCAACCTCTGACATTTTATATATTTTTCCATTTTTAGAAATGCAAAATGTAATGAGGCAAACACAAGTACAAGTTAGTTTTTATTTTTTTTTTCCATTTTTTTTTTTTAAATGATAACCTAACCTATGTTTAACCGCTTTTCTTTTTTTCTCCTCTCGAGCACTATACCCTCTTTTCTCGCATCTCTCCCACTTTGGAGATATACCATTCATTTTTGCACATTTAATATTGAAAATCGAAAAATTTTCGAAATTATAGGATTGACAGCCTGGGCATCGAGACACTTACTAACCTAACATATAGGAGGTAGGGAAGGGGGAGCGAACACAGAAAAGTTTATACATAAGTATGTAAGCGCGAATATGTATATGAAGTTGTATATGAAGTTGTATATGAAGTTGTATACCCAGTTTTATGCACAGTTGCATATCCAGTTGTGTATGCTTGCATACGTATATGTATTCTTCCACCCTTGCATAGTTCCCATTTCAACACTTCCATACCTGGAAGCATAAAATGTTTGCTACTTAGAATGGCCATGTGCGCATCGCCTGAAAGCATGCGCATTTAATATTTTTATCTCGGCCCATGGATATATAATGAATGGGTAGCAAGTTCCTCACTCTTCTTCTCGTTTCATTTTTGTTTTCATTTTTTAATTTATTTTTTTTTCGCATACCTTTCACATTATCCATCTACACTTTCCTCGTTTGTATGAAACATATTTTTTTTTCAAGTTTTGCATTTCGTTGGTGATCGGGAAAAAAATGTAACAAGTATTACATTGCATGAACAAATGCACACATGGTTATGTATGTACCTCTTGGAGAGAAAAAAAAAAAAAAAAAAAAAAAGAATATTTTTTCACATGATGCTTCTTATCACTTGTAACATTTCCTTTTCTCCACAATTCGGTACAAAAAAGTGCATGGGAGAATAATGCATTTGTAATTGCATGCATTTTTTTTTTTTCCCCATTTTTTTACTTTTTTTTTACTTTTTTTTTACTTTTTTTTTACCTTTTTCATTCAGCAAAATTTCAAGAGTTATTTTTGCTTCCGTTTGTTACACATTGTCTTTGTATTTTAAAACTTGTGCACAAACGGATGAAGAGTAAATAGTTCATACACAGCAAGAGGAAGTTCATAGACATCAAAATTGTGTATATGTATCTGTGTGTGTACTATTAACTTATGTATTTGAAAATGGTCCTAACATTCAGGACCATTTGGGAAAACACATTCACATTAGTGTTAGTAATTCATGTTCTTTTCTCCCATGTGCATCTCTTGCATTTGAGTCAACTGAATACAACGAGTCCCATGTGTGGCAACCGGTTCACCCAGCACGACGCATATTTAGTTAAACAAAGTAAGGGATAGTAGGTTATGGTCTTTGGATGTGTCCTCTGTGTTAGCAAAAAAATCTAGTAATTCTCGATATAAAAAAAAAAAAAAAAAGAAAAAAAAACTGTACATGTTATTTAAAAAAAAAAAAGAAGGTTTTATTTAATTCTTGCGCATGTTCTTGATAGATAGGAATAGATAGACTAATAGTGGCATCGAGAAAAAAACGATAAGATGAACGATTTTTCTTCAGGCTCCTTATCAAACAGTGAACGATCTAACAAAATTGCCTTATATGGAATATTAATTTACAAGTATGATGCATCAAAACCAATATTTCTCTCCTCCTCTTTGGACTTAGCGTCATTTCCATTTTTTCATAGATCTTCCTTAAAAGAGCATATTTATTTTCATTCAAGATTAGTATGCAGCAGGACCCCTAGAGGAAATAGAGAAATAATAGAACTGGAATCTGGGATTGGACATTTACATATATACACAAATAAGGAAAATAATATTAGTGTTCTAGTATTATCGACAAAGTCCTATCCATTAAGAATTGCATTTGGGTTGATTGATAATGCACAGAAATTATTTCAAAAAAAATGTAGAGGAAGATATGAAAACATTACTCAAGATTTAAAAGAGGGTACTTTATTTGCAAACGAGTTAAATGAACTCCTAACACAATATCAGAACCCATCAGAGGCAGACAAATTATCCAGAGTTCAGAAAGATCTAGATGAAGTAAAAGATGTTATGCTAAAAAACATTGAAGATTTGTTACAGAGAGGAGAAAAATTGGATGATCTCATGAAGAAGAGTCAGGACTTGTCGAATTCGTCTTATCAGTTCTATAGGTAATATTATACTCCTTCTACCTCACTGTGCTTTAATCTCCTCGGTGTGTTCATGCATGCATGAACAAACATATAATCACACGCACATAATAACACGCACATAGTCACATACCCTATTTGAATCCCTTTCAGACAAGCCAAGAAGAATAACCAATGCTGCAAGTTATATTGATGATATGGTACAGCACTTCTCCCTTTTTGTTAGAAGAGTGGAGAAAAATTATAATAATAAAAGGGAGATCATAAAGGACAATCACAAAAAGTGGAAATATACGAATTTCAAATGATGCATAAACAATCACCTCAAATCGTGCTTATGATCGCACCTGAGGGGGACATTTTGCAAATTTATAAGCATTTAGAAAAAAAAAAATTAGTTTAAGTAATATATATATATATATATATATATATATATATATACATGTACATTTGCATACACATACGTGTACACATGCATACATATATATGTACATGTTTTTCAATATTTCCCTATTTTATTTTTTCTTATATATGCGCATGTAATTGTGATAGTGATAGATTATACAAGTGTGTAAAATAAATTAGAAGCGAAGAATATGCTTTTACGCGTACAGTTCGGAGGGAGAAAAAAAAAAAAAAAAAAAAAAAAGGGAAAATCCATTTTGTCGATTGGAAAAACAAAACAAAAAAATACAAAACAAAAAAACAAAAAAATACAAAAAAAAAAAACAAAAAAATACAAAAAAAAAAAAACAAAAAAATACAAAAAAAAAAAACTAAACAAAAATGTGATTTCTGCCGAGCAGGAATGAAAATAATTTTTCCTAATTTCCACGAGGAAAAAAAGATCCCAGGTAGAATTCAGATGAATTCTTGAACACATGTATGGGTACGATTGTTTACAGAGAAAAACTAGAGCATTAATCCAGACAGACATATGGACAGATACAAGCAGATACGTACAGACACAAACAGATACACATGCGTATGGGTGGAAAATCAGACAAATGCTGCCGCCTCAAACGGCACACATACTACCCCTTAACATCAATTTAGTTTTTATTTTTATTTTCATTTTTGCATTCGTTTCCGTTTTCCTTTTTTTTTTTTTTTTTTTTTTTTTTTTTTTGTTACGTTGTAGACATCCTTTTTGAACATACACATTTATTTGTGTGCACTGTTCCTGTTAATTTTGTGTGTTTTTTCCCCGTGTCAGTTTTTATATTCATATAATTTTGTTAAAAAAACTATTTTTTTTTTTTTTTTTTTTTTTTTATCATTATTTTTTTGAAATTAAAAATGGTTTTGCACTTATTCTCCTCTTGTTTTTTTTCCTTTCTGCAAGATGGGGAAAAAAAAAAAAAAAAAAAAAAAAAAAAAATGGCTAGTTTAGCTAGCTAATCAGCATGTAAATCGACTTTTACTTGACGTGACAACAAATGGATAACATTTTCTGTGCAAGTTCTTTTCTGATTTCGCTGAAATGTTTGGCACGTCGAATTGTTTCCTGTGTTTTTTTTTTTTTTGCCTCTTTTCTTTTTTGCCTACTTCTCAAATGATGGATGGTTCATTCATGGAGAGAGCGTCTTGCATGTCTAATTTGGAAAATAGGAAAAAGAGGGGAAATTATAGGCGAAATTAGTGGGAAGTTTGACGAGGAAAGAAATGGAGTGGATAATTTTTCACAGTTTTGACTCTCCCCCAAAGCATCCTCCTCCCCGTCTTCTTCTTGAAGATAAGATACTTGCTGAAACTCCTTTTGAAAGGGCCTCCACATTTCATTTGTATGCAAAAAAAAAAAAAAAAAAAAATGTACCTGAATAGATATCGAAAGCGTTTAAAACTTCATTAAAAATGAAAAAGGTTCCACAAATTAGTAAAATGGAATTGTCATTGCAGCATTCGAGAAATGCGTTCTTCACAATTATGGGGATGGTACCTTTGGGGAAAGGACAAAAATGGAGAAAGTAAAAAAAAAATTGGAAAGACGAGCATCACTGTTACGCGCCTGATATACTATCGGTTGCGATATGCCCAACAGATCGATGTGTCTCTGATAAGGTAATATGCTCGTACACGTGCATCGTTTAAGCTGGTAGTACTACCTCGTGTGTACAATTGGTCTGTCCGATTGGCATCATTAGATTTGTCTTTCCTATCAGCAGTTATCCAATGAACTACTTTTTCGGCACTACTCAAAACGAGAACTCGAAGTTCATCACTGATCTGAGAATCATTCTTGAGCATATCCAAAATTTCTTCAAAGTCATAGGTTCGTTCGTTTAGGGACGGAAGGTAAAAAATGTCCTGGGGATGCACACGTGCATGGAAAAAAAAAAAAAAAAAAAAATATATATATATATTTAAATATATAAATATATATAAATATATAAACATATATAAATATATAAATATATGAACATATATAAATATAAATAAGCGCTCGAAACGGGAGAGGAGAAAAAGTGTGCGTGCTTCTCTCGCTCGTTTGCCAATCTGGAGATGGGGCGTGGTCAAAGTCGACAGGTGTGTGTGTCCCCCTACGGGTTTGCAGATGGTTTGAAAAAGAAAAAAATCTGAGAGAATTGGAGTGGCAAAAGCAGTTAAAGTAGTTGGGGATGAAACGGCCACTCGCACAGGTACCTTGAGGACGCCCTGGAAGTGTGCGATGATGGGTTGGAAGATGCTCAAGTTACGGGGTTTCGTCACTGATACGCAGACTCGTATGGACTTGCCTTTGTGAAAACAGTTAATATCGCGACATAGTCTATCAATAGCAGTTTCGTTATGACCAGCATCTAGTATGAGTGCATGTGGGTAGGAATCAGTATTCGTGAATGTTGCATTGGTAGGATTAAAATTTGATTGCTTGGTGTACTTATTTTTTATGTGTTCAATTTGCTCTGGTGCTAGATATTGTATTCTTAGTGGTGGTTTAATAGTAATGATTGATTTAAGAAACGAATCTGATGAGACCTTTATATTTAACATATTTAATGCTTCTATTGCTATTCTTGAATTTTCTTCGTTAAATGATTCACCCCTTGGGTCAGGTGGAATAACTTTAAGAGTACAATTCATTTGAGTAGCTTTTGTAAATACATCTTTATAAATTGATACAGTTGGCCCAATAAGAACCCTGGAATCTTTTTTAAAGATTCCTATTTTTTCTTTGCATATATGTTTCAATTCAGCTCCTAACAAATGTAAGTGATCATAACCGATAGATGTAATGATAATTAATTCTGGTTTTTTTAAAATATTTGTTGCATCAAGTCGACCACCAATCCCTGTCTCAATAATTGCATAATCCACACGTTTAAATGAAAAATATAGATAAGCAACAATTGTCATTATTTCGAAGAAGGTTGGATTTACATTTATCTTTTTTGCCTTTTTAAAAACTTTATTAACGAAATGTATTAAATCCGATTCACTTATCGGTTCATCATTTATTTTTATTCGTTCTCTTAGTGAAAATATATGAGGAGAAGAAAATAACCCAACTTTATAATTTCGCAATTTTAAACATACATAAATTTTGAAACACACAGAACCTTTTCCATTCGTCCCAGCTACATGCACAGTTTTATAATTGTCACATGGATTTTCAAAACAATCACTCAATAGTTTAGTTCTATCAAGTCCTAGCTTCAAAGAGTGTGATTTGTATAACTTCGCTAAGCATCCCATGTACGTTTTTACTTCTTCTTCTCCTTCGTCTTCTAAATTTTCCATTTTGTTCTTTCCACAAAAAGTGGTAAATATAAAGAAGAAACAAAAAAATTTTTGCAGTTTGATTCTATTCTAATGTATTATCAGTTGGATGCCATGTGCAGCACGCCTCGTGTGGTAGGGGAGAACTTTAAAAATATACACATAAATATGTACACAAATGCATACATAAGTGTTTACTACAGGGGGAACCATAAAAAAAAAAAAAAAGAATTATCCACTGTAGTAAGCAAGTTACAAATATTTACTAATTATAAGAACCTCTTTTTTTTGTGACATGTTTTCGCAAAAGAAATGTGACATATAATTGTGCATAATATCTTTTTATCGTATTGATGGACGTTGATAAAAAAGGCAAAAAAATATCACGCTAAAAATAAGGCAAAAAAAATATCACGCTAAAAATAAGGCAAAAAAAATATCACGCTAAAAATAAGGCAAAAAAATATCACGCTAAAAATAAGGCAAAAAAATATCACGCTAAAAATAAGGCAAAAAAAATATCACGCTAAAAATAAGGCAAAAAAAATATCACGCTAAAAAAAAAATGTGTATTTTAGGACAACCAAGATATATGTCTTTCGTTTTTTTCTTTCCATTTGTTTAGTGTTTACAATTTTACATAAGGGCAACATTAGAGAAAAAAAGGGTGATTAATAAAAGAGTGTAACAATTGAGAAATTCGTTTGGAAGAAGGGGAACGTGAAAAAAAAAAAAAAAAAAAAAATCGCCACGAGAAAAAACCAATTGAACGAACATGAATCAGAAGAGTAACCTTTTCAAAAATAAGTAACAAGAACTATATATATTCGAATCTAAATTTTCGAGTGGGGAAAAACTGAATGCTTTTTTTTTTTTTTTGGTACACATATATATATTTTTTAAAACGTTATTTGTGCGTGAAGCAAGGTGTAATGGTAAACCTGGTGTAATCAGTAAAAGTGTTCGTGCTGTGTATCTATGTCTTTATGCGAGTGTTTTTATACTGGATTGTACGTATGCCTGTACGTTATCCATGCACGTTATCCATGCACGTTATCCATGCACGTGTGTATATGTTTGTTACCCATCCATTCCCAATATGGCTCCGCAACGGCAAATAACAAGGGCGGGCTGTGAACGATAGAAAATGGGAAATCCACTGCATCTGAGTTCAGAAACATTTCGTTATGTGGTCAACAAGCTAGCTTTGCAAGTCCATGTGTTCTTTTGTATGGAATATTTTATTCTTTTATTTTTGTTTCCTCGGGGGGGGGGGGGGGGGGGAAACGACTATTCTGTTTTTTTTTTTTTTTTTTTTTCGACGAGGCGAGATTGCGTGTTTCCTTACGACATTGCAGCAAAAAATGAACTCAAATTGAAGTATAATAAAATAATATTAAATGAGAAAAAAGGTTAAACGGTATAGTATATATATATATATATATATAATCTTCTCCTCTTAAATATTTTTGTCATGTTGGATTACCTGTGGGATGAGGCTACAAATTTTGGCCCCTTTTTTTTTTTTTTTTTTTTTCGAGGTAGCGAAATTGCAGCATGTGTAGCCTTCATACGTGTGTTATGTCGTGCTGCATGCACAAAGTAAAGGATTCTGTGGGTTGCATATAGATGGTATATGTGAGTGGTTTCTTCGCTACTATATATTTGTATATATATATATTTGTATATATATATATATATATATACTCACGTCATAAGAGCTATATAGGGGGTCCCACTTTTGGTGGCATGTAGAGTTAGAGCTAGTATTCCCAATGCCAATTTACTCCCCCCCCACAAACACACACACACACGCTTCCTAAAAAACAAATAATACCAAGTGTCAAAATTAAAAGGGCCAAAAGGTGGGCAAGGTTATTGGGATAATTTTTTCTATCCAATTAAGAAGAAGCACAACATAATTTTATGGAACACAAATTCAGATGTAGTGTTTTATTCGTATGTTCAGTTTCTTACAATATTATATTCACGGTAATGTTCAATTATGTGGGAAGTTTTATTTTTTTTAAAAGTTGCTTATTTTTAGAAGTTTTTTTTTTTTTTTTTTTTTTTTTTCTTCTCCCCATGCATGCACAAATTTCTCATGTCCCTCATTTTTTTTTTTTTTTTTTTATGAGCTTCAAATAAAGGCACCCTCAAGTTTTGCCACGCATCATGTGTAGTATGTAGTAGCATCCATTTGAGGGAATCACTCGGCGATGGGAGTGGGACAAATGGGTGGAGAAATCAGTTGGAGAAATCAGTTGGAGAGGCCATTTTGAACCCCCCCCACACCTCACCTAGCGAAGCGCAAAAATAATTGTAGCACACATGGAGCCACAATTGAGTGGAATTGAAAAAAAAAAAATGATACAAAAAATGTAAGAAAAATGCAAGAAAAAAAAAAAATATATAATATATATACATGTAGCACAATAAATTAGCGAAAAAAGGCTGCAAAAACACGGTAGGGCAAGAGAAAAAAAAAAAAGAAAAAAAACATTACATTTTTTTTTTTTTTTATCCATTTTATATTATTCATTCCACATTTAAACAAAGGAACACTTTTGTGAAAGATATAAAACTTTACAAATTAAAGCACGAAAAAAAATAAGGAAGAAAAAAATACGTGATATTTTTTCATTCCACATTCCACATTTAAACAAAGGAACACTTTTGTGAAAAATAGAAAACTTTACAAATTAAAGCACGAAAAAAAATAAGGAGAAAAATATTACATCCCCCGTGTGTATATAGATATATATATATATAAAAACTCCTGTTTATGCATACATTTACATATTACAATTATCAACTTAGCGGGGAAAAGCAAAAACGTAATTTTTACATTTGAAATTTTTTTTTATTTTTGAAATTTTTTTTATTTTTTTTTTTTTTAATTATTCTACGAAGATGACGCCCAAGCCCAAAATTGTGCTTATTGGATCTGGAATGATAGGAGGCGTGATGGCCACCTTAATTGTTCAAAAGAATTTAGGAGATGTGGTTATGTTCGACATTGTGAAAAACATGCCACAGGGAAAGGCTTTAGACACATCCCACTCTAATGTTATGGCATATTCAAATTGCAAAGTCACAGGATCAAACTCTTATGATGATTTGAAGGGTGCTGATTTGGTTATTGTGACAGCTGGATTTACCAAAGCTCCTGGAAAGAGTGATAAAGAATGGAACCGAGATGACTTACTACCATTGAATAACAAAATTATGATTGAAATTGGTGGTCATATAAAAAAAAATTGCCCAAATGCTTTCATCATAGTTGTAACAAACCCTGTTGATGTAATGGTACAATTATTATATGAACATTCAGGTGTTCCAAAAAATAAAATTGTTGGTTTAGGTGGAGTTCTAGATACATCTAGGCTAAAATATTATATTTCACAAAAGTTAAATGTGTGTCCACGAGATGTAAATGCCCTTATTGTAGGAGCCCATGGAAATAAAATGGTTCTTTTGAAAAGATATATTACTGTAGGAGGAATACCATTACAGGAATTTATTGATAACAAAAAAATTACAGATGCTGAAATTGAAGCCATATTTGATAGAACCATTAACACAGCTTTGGAAATTGTCAATCTCTTAGCATCTCCATATGTGGCCCCAGCAGCTGCAATTATAGAAATGGCTGAATCATATTTGAAAGATATTAAAAAAGTTCTTGTATGTTCCACCTTATTAGAAGGACAGTATGGCCACAGCAATATATTCGGTGGTACTCCACTCGTTTTAGGTGGAGCAGGAGTTGAGCAGGTAATTGAGTTGAAGTTGAATGCAGAAGAAAAATCAAAATTTGATGAAGCAGTTGCCGAGACCAAAAGAATGAAGGCTCTTATATAAAAATAGAAGCAGAGGAGAAGCAGTGGCAGAGGAATAGCAGAAATAATATTGATGAATGAAAAAGGAAAAAAAAAAAAAAAACAAAAAAAAAAGGAGGTATATATATATATATATTCCCTACTTTTTTCCTATCATTCGAGATGGAAAAACGTTGGGGAATTTCATCCATTTCATCCACCACCCACCCCCCCCAACACTGTGACAGACAGTACATTAGAGAAAAACCCAATTTCAGAATTTTTAGACTTTTTGTTACCTCTCTCGACCCCTTGGAATGACAGGAAAAAACGCACCTTGAGAGAACAGAAATGTAGAGGCAAAAGGCAGAGACAGAAAAAGAGAAATAGAAATAGAAATAGAAAGAGAAAGAGAAAGAGAATGAAAAATGACAAAAGAATTGCGAAACAGTTGCAAAGTAACGTTAAGGTGAAAATGAGTTCTGCACGTGCTAGCCTGCTTATCCTTACTCCTTTTTTTTTTTTTTTTTTTTTTTCGCCTAATCTGCCACGAATGAGCGATTAATTTTTTACATATATATATGGGCCATGTTTCTTTTAGCGTATGTTTAATGTATCCGAATTGTATGCTCATGTTGTTCATATTGTTGCGTCCCTATAATGCATGACTTGCTTGAAGTGTGAAATGGACCCATTCAGCTATGCGTTTATGTTTATGCATATGTGTATGTATATATGCACATGCATATACATATACCGTGTATGTATATTAAGAAAAATAACTAACAAATAGCTAACTTTTAGGAAAAAAAAAAACAAGGATGCCCAAAACGGCGAAAACTTATCATGTAAAGAAAAGTAACACTTCAAATAGTGCTTCAGTGATGCAATTATATTGCTCCATAGAAACACTCATAGTGCAAATTTGCACATGCGTGATGGGTGTGTACATCCTGTGTTTGCATAAGATATAAGAACACACGGACGAGGGGGGGGAGACATTTATAATGCAGAAGCTCCCGTGCATGTGGACAAATGTCACACCATTATCACAACAACCCCAGGGTATGTATAAGTAGTATGCTTCCCAGCATTTTACATAGAAGACAAAATATTTTTCAACAGAGGTTTCAAATGAGGTTTCAAATGAGGTTTCAAATGTTTGGATTTTAAAAAATGAAAAAAAAAAAAAAAAGCACCGAAAATGGGCCATGCAGGGGTAGTACGGCAAAATGTGTTTACATCAGAACGAAATGATTTTGCATATAAAGTCCAATATGTGGAAGTTATTCCCCATATGAATAATAATAATAAAAAAAAAAAAAAAAAAAAAAAAACTAGGCGTTCATCGCTAGTCCCCTTGATGGTTTGTTTTGTTCTTTTTCCTTCACTTGTTTCTCCAAAATTTTTCTACTCGTCTTCAATAGCTCGTATGTAAAAGACATTGTTTCCACGAATAAATGCATCATTATACTTTTCAATAAATTCACCTTCGAAGAATTCCTCAGTTTGTTCTAGTGCAACATTCATACGTTCATCTAGGCAAGCCAAAATTCCTTTGTAATCTGACCCATTATTCAGTCGTACTATTACGGCACGCCCCTTTAGGCTTTCCACAAAATCCTTAGGGGAGTTGGAGCTCATGTTTTTCGAAAGAAGTTTAGGAGTCAACGAACCTACAAAATTGAACTGAAAATTTCTAATGAGAACTCATAAAGAAGTGGCTATATATATATATATATATATAGAGTACGTCTGTGATGTACTTATTAGTCGTGCATGCATTATTTATTTATTTTATTTTTTTTTTTTTTTACACACCACGGATGTTAGTCTGTGGGGGCTCTAAAAATGGGTTATCTCACAAATTCCTATGATGTAGATGGAAGGTGCTACGTATATTCTACGATGCAGATAGAAGGTGCTACTTATGAGTGCTTTCTACACAGGAAATAAAAAACTTCCAAATTGTGAAATAAGCCTTTTCGAATACATTTAAAAAAGGTGAAAATAAAATTTGTGCATATTTTGACAATTTTTGAATTCTCCTTTTTTTTTTTTTTGGGGGGGAGGGAACTTGGAAATGGGTTGAGGACAACTTTCGAGAAAAAAAAAAAAAAATGGCTAAAATTTGTTTCTTAAGTTGTATGTATTATCTCACCCCTGCTGTTTGTGCAATTTCCAATTTTTGAAAATATTCATAAATAATTTCGAATTAAAGGTGAAACGTCACTCCTCATGTTCTTGTCGTCAATTTTGTTTTCATAGCGGAGTTAAATAGGTTTGAGAGAAAAAAAGAAAAAAAAAAAAAAAAAAAAAAAAAAAAAAATTTCCAATTAAAGGTGAAAAGTCACTATTAATTTTTTTATCGTAAATTTTTTTTTAATAGCGGAGTTAAATAGTTTTGAGAAAAAAAAAAAAAAAAAAAAAAAAAAAAAAAAAAAAACCCACTTTCTTCTTAGCTGTGTTCATATTCTTTTTTCGATTTTTTTTTTTTTTTTTTTTCCACCATAACTATTATTATTTTTTAATATATTTATTTATTTTTTTTTTTTAAAATCCCCTTCCCCTCCATATCTTCAATCGTTAAAAAAGTGCATTTCTCCAAAGACAATTAAAAAAAATCCTGTTGTTATAATCCCTGTTAAACTAGTTTTTCGCATGTTCAAAGGAATAATTTAGGGATAACGGTTTAGCCTAATTTTCCTAANNNAAAATTTGTTTCTTAAGTTGTATGTATTATCTCACCCCTGCTGTTTGTGCAATTTCCAATTTTTGAAAATATTCATAAATAATTTCGAATTAAAGGTGAAACGTCACTCCTCATGTTCTTGTCGTCAATTTTGTTTTCATAGCGGAGTTAAATAGGTTTGAGAGAAAAAAAGAAAAAAAAAAAAAAAAAAAAAAAAAAAACCAATTTTTTTTTTATTTTTTTTTTTTTTTTTTTTTTTTTTTTTTTTTTTTTTTTTTTTTTTTTTTTTTTTTTTTTTTTTTTTTTTTTTTTTTTTTTTTTTTTTTTTTTTTAAAAATTTTTTTTTTTTTATTTTATTTATTATATTTATACAATATTAAATAAATATAAATAAATTTATATTT